AATATATATCAATGCTTGAACCTGATAAAATATTTAAACGAAATAAAATATTTTATGCATCCTCCAAATTGTTTAAGAAATTCATTTTTGAGAGAAAGAAATATCTATATCCGATATTATTAATTCAAATAAATTCGTATCTACCTGTATGTTGAAACGGAATTTCATTACGGGGAATAAATCGGTCCATAAACGCGAATATATATCAATTCGATAAAAGAAAGGGGAACTTCGAATCCTATCGTGTCATCGCAAGTTTACGCACTCGTTTCCCGCAGATCGCTCGAGAAGAATTTTCACCGCGGTAAAAATAAGTTATATGGGAACAGTCGGATCTAACCCCACTTTAAAGGATACACACAAGCGCGCCTATAAGAGAATTGTCAGCTATTTTTCCCTCCGTGTCGATTCAATTCGATTTCTAAAATTATACTCAAGAAATTGGTGCAAAGGGAAACACTTGATCTTTGACAAAGGAGCAAACAATGAAAAACAAGTTCTTCGTTTTTTTTTTTTTTTTTTTTTTAATATCAACGTAATACGCGTGAGAAAGAATTAATAAGTTACTTCCGATAATCGATTGTTACGATATTTAAATCTCGAATCGTGCGATATATCTTCAAAGTGTTTAACACAGTCACAGAAAATCGTTACTTTATATTTGCCCTCCCCCTCGTTTGTTTCATTTTTTATTCACGATCACCTCGCTAGATATATCATCTAAACGTAAACAATTTTCGTGTTGCGAAGAACATAAACGAGGTGAACGTAACGATTTCAGAGCATGTATTATGCAAAACTTGGTTCAGTTTAATACTGTTCCTCTCGCTTCGTCGACGACGCAACGTATTCTTATAAAAGCTTGCATAACACGGTAATATTGTATAGTTACATTTCAACGAACGTTACATCCTCGCATGGTTGTCACAAGTGACTATTAAAGCCACTAAGTGTTATGGAACTATCGATAAGTTGTACGTTATGTAAAGAGGTGTGAGAATGCATATCGTCGCTCGAAAGTGTTGGGACGCTTCGTTCTAACAAGTATCTGAAAAACATTACGAAGTCGATTAACAACACGATACAATAATAATTTTGCATCAAAAATATTAAACGGTTAAACATTAAATAGTTAATACATCTTTTCTTGTAGATGTATTCATGATTTTGACTATATCGATTATTATTTTTTTATCATTTATTATCAGCTATTTTTTCTTCTACAATGTGACACATATAATTCCAAAGGATCTCAAAATGGAGGATGAAAATTCCGAATTATTTCTTCAAATTTTATTCATCCTATCCGAATTAAAAATCAAAATCATATTTCCTTGATTCAAAAAGACTATAGGAATGATTTAAATTACGAAATATAAGAAACGCGTCAAAATCTGTAATAAATCTATTCTAAAAATTCATACCTATAAATCGGTAATAGCCAATTGTAGTAACAAACCAAGTCAATTGCAGATTGCACTCGACCCAAGCAATAAGGTCATTCCGCTTGGTTTCGTACCGATTGCCGCCCCATTCGATTCGATATTAACTTGGTTGAACCCATTTCTGTTTTTCTCTCCTTGAACAATGCCGCCTCGTCGCATCGAATCCGCTTTTTTATTTTTTATTTTTCCCCCTTTTCTCCCTTCTTCTCTCTCTTTCTCTCCTCCTCACCGTGTTCCTCCTTCGTTCCTCCTGTTCCTCACGTAACGATTCAAATTCACAATTTCCCGGCCGGCCGCGATTCAACCTATCCCATCCGTCCCCGAGGTTGGCGGTGTACAGCCGAGGCTAATTTAAGAAATCAATTAAAGTCGTCCATGGTTAATGGCATCGAATGGCATCGCGTCTCGTCGAAACTGTTTTTAAACTTTCACCCGCAAAAGCGGACGATCTAAATCCATCATCGACCGGCGTGTGTAGGACGATTGAAATTGCATTTTCTAGTCGTCTCGCTCGAACGACCGATTTGTGACAATGGTAAAAAGTTTCTTGCTCTCTCTCTCTCTCTCTTTTTTTTTTTTTTAATTTCAAACTTGCTTTTTGAAGAAAAAATCCCCCCGGGCGGATTAAACCACCGTATTTTTTCGGCTTTTTTTTTTTTTTAATTTCAAACTTGCTTTTTGAAGAAAAAATCCCCCCGGGCGGATTAAACCACCGTATTTTTTCGGCTTTTTTTTTTTTTTAATTTCAAACTTGCTTTTTGAAGAAAAAATCCCCCCGGGCGGATTAAACCACCGTATTTTTTCGGCTTTTTTTTTTTTTTAATTTCAAACTTGCTTTTTGAAGAAAAAATCCCCCCGGGCGGATTAAACCACCGTATTTTTTCGGCTTTTTTTTTTTTTTAATTTCAAACTTGCTTTTTGAAGAAAAAATCCCCCCGGGCGGATTAAACCACGATATTGTTTCGACTTTTTTTTTTTTTTTTTGGATATTCGTTATTTAAATTTAATTTGAAAAGGAACAGAGAGATGCGCAACTTTTAAGAAGTAAAAATGTGTAAATACGAGTGCACGAATAAAAATTTTTCCCTCTCAATCTGATTCTATTAATTCGTACGTCAGATATTAGAATATTTTATTTCATAGGTTGTTATATATATATAAATACATGAAATGCGTATGATAATAATAAATATTTTGAATTAATTTACGTGATAAATCGTGTAAAAATTTTTCTATTACTCCCGATTTAAAATTCGATATTGAAAAATATTCGAACGGTGGACTAATATAGAATTTCATTAACTTTATTGATACACAGAAGGGGAAATTCAAGATTCAATCTAAAGTAACTTTCCATTTCGTATTCTGGGAAAGAGTTGTGCAAACACAACATTCGTGCTTCGAGAGAAATTGGCGCGCTCTGAAAATATTTTAAATTCACAGCGGCGGAAAACTGTGCGAGGAGTAAAACTCTATCTTCCAAATATTCGAATCCACTAATCGAATCACTTTTCTATATCGATTTCGATATTTTTCGATTTTATATTATTATATTTCGTTTTAATTGTTAATTTAATTAAACGTCGATGACATCACGCTCATTTATCGACGCGTATCACTAGCAAATTGGTGATATATTCTTCTGTGATTTATTATTTTAATACCGCATAATAATTAATTTTTATTTTGTTGCAGCTGGAGTTATTCACAATCGCGTGCAAACATGTTAACGTGAGTAAACAAATTTGTTTTTTTCTTTGAGCGATGTATATATTTAATTCAATAATAGAAATAAAAATAGAATTTAGAGAATCGATTCTTATTAAAATTTTCTTCTATTAATAAATTACATTACTTTATGATTTTATGAGGGATATAATTTTTCTTTTTTTTTTATATATATATTTTTAACAGTTTGTTAGTTTATATTTTTTGAAACGTATTTATATCAAGCATTCCTTCGTATAGTTGGCAATCAATTTGAAACTAAATGTTGAGTTAAAATTTCAGGAAACGAGACTAAGCTTCTACCTCATTAATGCCTCATTATTACATCATTACTCGTTCCATTCCTCGACTATTATACGATCGAGGACATTCTCGATAGAATTAAATATCTACGATTAAACATCTTACTTAATATCTATAAAAGAAAGAAAAGACTTGTTTAATTCTTTCCACATAATAACATCGAAATTTTAACAAATAACGATTTCTCACTCGTCAAAAATATTCCTCATTATTGTCAAAAAATAAAATTTGTCCCCGATGTAAAATAACAGAAATTGATTTTAATTAGTTCGAAAATTAACAATTTTCATGTAATTTAATTTATCGAAATATCCGACGAAACATATGAAACAAGATCCGTTCCTATGTGAAGTTGAACAGGAGTTTGCTCCTCCTCCGTTGAAAAGTTTTCATTCACAATTATCGTTGCCGATAATTATGCGGCCGATCGACGAAAATTTGCGGGGGATAACGAGATTGTTGTACGGAGGGCCGAAAATTTCATAATCGGTGCATTATCGGACGAAAATTGGACGAAAAGTAAACGAAACGAGGGGGCGGGAGGGCGGAGGCATTCGTCTCAAAAGCCTCGCGACCATCGATTTTCGAATTTGCGGTTTATAGTCGAGTTTAAAGCGAAAAATTGACGAGAAAATTCCACGCGGACCTCGACTCCGCGTTATTCATGGTGTAACGCTATTAAAGGGACCAGACGTTACCCAGACCCAGCCGGAAATTATGAATGCCTATCGCGATACATCATTCGATATTTCCGCTACGCTTGCTCAAAACACATCCTTGATTAAGAAAATCGACCCGATCGAAATTCGAAGTAATTGGAAATTTTATATAGAATCGTGCCATGCTCGATTTTTCCTTATTTCTCCTTTTTTTCACTTTGCTTTAAACGGGCAGAGAACCATACAAGTTTGTTGATTTTGTAGATAGGCTCCAAGAATAACATTCCGTAGTAGATAATAATATTGCTTATGTACGAACCGGCATCGAACTTCTTGGATAAACTCGCAAATAAACACGACGTTGGACAGATAGAAAGAAATATCGTATTTCAAATAAATGATTTTTAAACTTGGATTCTTTATAGATAGATATAAATATAATATACAATTGAATCGAAAAATCGTAGATTTTTGCTTATCCTATAATTTTATTGATTATCTCCATTGGACTCGTAATTAATAATTTTTTCTTTTTCGCAACATGTTTTCATCGGATGATTAGAATATCACGGATTCGGAGGCCGAGAGTCACGTTTGAAAACGTTGCTGTGCAAATAGGGTTCGATTTAAGCGGCCGTGAAACGAACAATTTACAAAACGTGCACTTTTAATTTCGCGCCACGAAAAGCGTCGCTCTATTTATAACTGTGTCAGCCCCATTATACACTCCCCACTTTGGATAAACATTCGTACAGCTCATTTCGATATTATTCGCGAAACTTTTTTATGAATTTTTTAGATAAAAAATTTATCCCCCGCTGCACATTTTTGCCCCACATCGCCAACTTTGCCCGAGGGATAAACAAGACGAGGATACGCAATATCCAGTTTCCACGATGTTTAAATCATTATTACGATAGAAAATTCACTCGTGTTTCGTTTCGCGCTTCGTTGAAAAATTAATTTCCACGGATCTTTCAGCGATGAATGTTTCAGAATCGTTGATCGTTTCTTTTTTTTTTTTTTTTTTTTTTTTACGATTAGAGAAAAATTCAATGACGAGTATCGAACGATTACACGTCGCGAATATTTATATTTTATATATCGTTGAAAAGAAATGGATTAAACCTTCGTGTTTATATTCGGGAAGAGCATCGATCGATTTTTAGGATTCGTAGATTTCCTTTCGTACTCCCTCGCTTTCTCTGGTATTCGCAGAATGTGCTGTTATCGAACATTCCAGATAGATTTATTATTGATGTCGCACGGAAATCTCCAATCTTCCAATTGCTCGTATTAATACACACGTATACAGCAAATTGAAACGATTCTGAAAATGAAATTACAAGATTTCGCGTGTCACGAAATCCAACAATGAAATTGTACCGATGAAAAAAAGGAATCGTAATTCGATGAAACGTCCGAATCGAAAACGTTCGATTGCCACGATTTATTTCGAGACCCGAATCGAGGAAACAACAAAAGTGTAAAGTTGATATCGACTGGACTCGAGAGTTGATTCAGCAGAGAACAGATGCACGAAAGATGAAAAATCGTTGGACGTGAAGCTTAAAAATACGAGAGTGAATTCGAAGAAACGAGTAGTGAGCAAAGAAAGAAACAAAGGGGGAGTAAAAGGAAGTGCAAAGAAGGGAAAAGATACGAGGGAAACGCGAGTTCGAGTTCGTATCCCGCGTGTGTGTGCGTGTGCGTGTATCGTGTATACTTCCAAGGTTGCGCGGGAATGGGGAGGGGGGAGGAAAGTTTTTAAAATTAACCTTTTTAAAATTAGATATGTTGATCTCGGGCATCGCGTTTTTCACGTTAAACAGTCTCACGAATTTCCGAATACTTCCGCGGCAACTCATCTCCAATGAGAGATTTTTCGTCAATCGATTTTTGGCGCGTACCAGTGTTGCGACACCAGTGTGCGATTCTCACAAATATTTTACGCGTCTCTCGTTGTTAAGAAACCATTCTCGATTGTAATCTTTAAACCGATTTGTTCGAATTCCGCCACGATGTATATATAGAGATATGTAAGTGAAGAAATTGTGCGAGAGACAATAGGAATATTTTGTTTTATTGTGAAAATTGATGGATAAATATCAAAGATTCGATGAAATTCGTTTAAATAAATAAGTCTTCTCGTATTTATCTCGTTTTTGAGGAAAAGTGCATCATTTTTTTTTTAGTTTAAATTCTCTACACGTGATGTGATAAATAAATTGTGATTGGTGATCGACAATGAACTTTTGTTAGAGGAATATAATTTCGAAACAAAAGTTCTGAAAGTGATTTGCAAAAGCGAGAGGAATCCAAGGAAGAAGAGAACGATGACTTTAATCGGATAAGAATAGCTGCCCTGGTTTTTGGTATAATTTATATTTTTTTTAACATTTCTTTTTGAAATTTCTCATTTGAGAAATTTAATTAATAAAACGCGTAATTCGTCAATCGTTATTTTCGTCGTTTAAAAGAAGAAGAGGTGATATTCTCGAGATCGAATGCGTGATTTATCGTGCAGGCTACGACGATTTATACACAACGAAAGGAAGAGAAATAGGAAAAAGGACACTTTTTTTTTTCGTTTATCTGCAGCTGTCCTCCAGCTGTCCGTCTTCGCTTATATTTCCCAAACGTTCCAATAAATTTCCGCTCGGGAGAAAATTTCATAGAAAGAAACGATTTTTCTTCGGTTCACGGAGCGTCCAATTGAATAAAGGAAGATCACAATTATTCCGTGGCGGAATTCATTCATAAAGTTATTTTATGCCTGTGAGAAAACTTTAATCAGCAACATTCTCGACGAGAAACAAATTTAAAATAATCGTTTCGAATGTATATCCGAAATGGGTTGAATTGAAGAAGGAAGGAAAGAAGGAAAAAATCGATTTTCTTCGCAATTCAAATTTTTTCGAATAACGTTGCAAAATTTCAGTGAGGGGAGGGGGAGGTTCGAGAGGAGGCGAAGGAAACGGTGTACAGTGAACGATAATTCATTGATAACTCCACGGTACGCTTTTATGCCAGTGAATAGAATTATCGAACGACAGTAAAGTGGTATGTGTAAGTGGTATCAGGGTTGAAAGGCTATTATACGCGAATATTGCCATCCACAAGTTACTGGACATTTAGTACATTTAAAATGAAAGTAAATTACGGTTATGTAAAATAAAGAGGTTGATACAATTTTTTGAAAGTGTAGCGAGGTAAAAAAGAAAAAAAGAAAAAAAAAAATATCTATTTTCTTCTTAAAAATCCATATAAAATATATCTCGTCGAATCAATATCCCTTGTAATGGAACGCAAATATACTTTTTCGAGTGGTGTGGGATAACAGTTTTCTATTATAACAATCGAAAGGAAACATTGAATCGTACTTTCGATTATCTACATATATAGAGAAAAATGTCAATATCGTAGAAACAACGCGTGCAAATATAACATGTTATAATAATTCGAGACAAGAATATGCCTCTCTGCTTTCCTTTCTTTCTTCTTTTCCATTTACAGCTCCTTTATTGTTGCCAAAAATGGCCATGACGCGCGTAGTCCTTCACCAGCCCATGTCTAAATATGGTTAATGCTTTGGAGGTTCTCGGAGAAGTTTACCGAACGGACCTTATTTTCTGTCTTCGTGAAACTCTCACTTTCGCTTTTGCAATTTTCCATCGTCTTCTCAAATCTTTTAATCGAAGGAAATTTCATAAAAAGAAATTTTAATTCCAAGATTTGATGAAATATTTTTTTTTTTTTTTTTTTTTTTTTTTTTT